ATAATTTAAGTTTTAACGAATTGGAATAACCCAATTAGTTCTAAAAGGTTGGTACCACTATTGTTACATGCAAAGATTTGACCGATTATATATCCAAAAAAAAAAAAAAATTTTTTTTGGGCCAATTGAGAGAATAAACCATAGTATATTATCATGACCAAAATCAGTATATTATTATCTTTCTAAGTCCCAAATCAATTTTACATTGATATTGCTTTGTGGTATCCCTAGCTTTGCATTATATAAAGACTTGGGGGGTGTTTTGAGAAGTTGGTAAAAAGCTGATTTTTGGCTTTTTATCAAGTTTTTTGGCTTTTTTAGAAGTGATTTGAGAAGTTGGTAAAAAATTGACTTTTTTGATTTTTGGTTTAATATTTTTTAAAAGTGTCACATCACACCAAAATGATCAAAATATCCTTACTTTTTGATTTTTGAATTAATTAATTAAAATGTTCCAGAAGGTAGTTTGGTAAATTTGAGTGTTGCTTTTTTGGGTCTTTCCAAATGGTGGTTTAGCTTTTTTGGCACTTCCAGTGTTAAGCCAAATGCATCAAGAACGCTGCGTTTTTGATAGGTTCCCAAAACGACACTTAGTTGTTTAGATTGGTATGCTTATGAAGAGGGATTGAATTATGAGTCATATTTATTTGACCCATCTCAATTTTCCTAATTTTAATGGCATGTTTTAACTTTAGCTGATATTGAAATATTTGATTAGAGATTTTTTAATGAGGCACACTATTAATTTGGAAAAGATCTAAACAAATTCTTTGATTGAAACAGCACAATTACATGTGATGACAAAATGAATTAAAGAGCTAAACTTGCCCACTTTGATAGTAGCATTTACAACGTATCATATCATACAACAAAGTTCAATGAATCAATCACAATCACAATAAAAATTAAATACAACATATAATTATTAGAAAGAAAATTTTAAAGCGAATGAGATAAACTCCAAATGACTACAAAGAGAACATCCACACAAGTGCAAATATTCAAATTGTTGATCTCCAACTGAGATCAAAGCTTCTAATCAACAATAATTAAATTAATATAAAGAATTAGTCTAAAAACACATACCGATCTGATACAAAATGTATAAAGATGGACATCATCTTTTAAAAGTGGGTCCCATTGATAAGTTTTATAAAATTTTATTTATTAATATGTATTCTATTTTTTTATTTTTGTGTTTGTAATAAAACTGTAATATAAAAACTAAAAGAAATATCTATGGAGGTTGTTTAACAATATATTTGTAAATATCATACGCACAATAAACAAGAAAAAAGATTTAGAAAATCAAAAAACTTCTGCCCAAAATGAGAATCTAATAAAAAGCAGCCAACAAACTTGATGGACTTCCTAATATCATCTCAGGGTTGGTTTGGCAAGGGTTTATTGGGCTTTTTTGGCTCAATGAGTCATAAAAGACAGAATAGGTTCATGAGGCACAACAGACAAAACATCCCATTTAACTCCATAATCATTACACTCTTCTCTCACAAAAAAATCAAAAAAGTCAAAAAGTCAAAAACCCTTTCCAAACTAAGCTTTTGAGCCCAGGCTCATATAGTCAAAAAAGCCAAAAAGTCAAAAAACCAACCCACTTCCCAAACGGAGGCTCATTGTAGTCTTGATTTTTTTTCTTGCATAATGGGATTAATTCTTTTTTAAATAGAAAACAATTTAGTTCACGAATAATGTTATATGTACTAATTGATATATCAATTAATATACTAACGGATGATGTGATATAACTTTAAAAGTTTTGAGTTTTTGTAATTTGTATAATGGGTGAGGTGGGGTCATAGTTTTGAAATGGCAATATTATAGCATATGTTGGCACACTAATTGATATATCAATTGGTACGTGTAGCATCACCGTTATTTTACAATTATGAAGAAAAAAAATTGTAGAACTGCAGTCAATGAATATCATACACTCTTTAATTGTTGTTTTTGAAATTTAAATTAGGAACACCAAGTACACTTTTATTCTTCATATGCTTCTAGTAAATATATCTCAAAATATGAACAATAATTGTTAGAAATTTTAATGTGAGAATCCAAAATTAAATGATCATTTTGGATGGTTATTTAGGTTGTATTTGACTTATGAATTTATTAGGAATTTGAAAACAAAAATTTTCTATTCAAATTCATAATCCAAAGATACATTATTTTATTTAATTTTGAGTTGAAAGGAAATTCTACGAACACAAAAAATATATATGAATGGCTAAAATTTTATAAAATCTGTTGATGGGCAAGATCTATTTATAATTTTTTTTATAATCTTGATTTATTTTTCTTGCATAATGTGGTTAAATCTTTTTTCAAATAGAAAACATTTTATTTCACAATTATGAAGAGAAAAAATATAGAACTGCATTCAATGAATATCATACACTCTTTAATTGTTGTTTTTGAAATTTGAATTGAATTACGACCACCTGGTACACTTTTATTCATCATATTAAATGCTTCTAGTAAATATATCTCAAAATATGATCAATAATTGTTAGAAATTTTAATGGGAGAATCCAAAATTAAATGATTATTTTGGATGGTTATTTAAGTTGTATTTGACTCATGAATTTGATTAGGGATTTGAAAACAAAAAATTTCTATTTAAATTCATAATTCAAAAAAACATCATTAGAGACACATTATTTTATTTTATTTTATTTTGAGTTGAAAGGAAATTCTACGAACACAAAAAATATATATGAATGGCTAAAATTTTATAAAATTTGTTGGTAGGCAAGATCTATTTATAATTTTTTTTATAATCTTGTTTTTTTTTTTCTTGCATAATGCGATTAAATCTTTTTTCAAATAGAAAACATTTTGTTTCACAATTATGAAGACAAAAAATATAAAACTGCATTCAATGAATATCATACACTCTTTAATTGTTGTTTTTGAAATTTGAATTGAATTAGCAGCACCTAGCACACCTTTATTCATCATATTAAATGCTTCTAGTAAATATATCTCAAAATATGATCAATAATTGTTAGAAATTTTAATGGGAGAATCCAAAATTAAATGATTATTTTGGATGGTTATTTAAGTTGTATTTGACTCATGAATTTGATTAGGGATTTGAAAACAAAAAATTTCTATTTAAATTCATAATTCAAAAAAACATCATTAGAGACACATTATTTTATTTTATTTTGAGTTGAAAGGAAATTCTACGAACACAAAAAATATATATGAATGGCTAAAATTTTATAAAATTTGTTGGTAGGCAAGATCTATTTATAATTTTTTTTATAATCTTGTTTTTTTTTTTCTTGCATAATGCGATTAAATCTTTTTTCAAATAGAAAACATTTTATTTCACAATTATGAAGAAAAAAAATATAGAACTGCATTCAATGAATATCATACACTCTTTAATTGTTGTGTTTTGAAATTTGAATTGAATTAGGAGCACCTAGTACACTTTTATTCATCATATTAAATGCTTCTAGTAAATATATCTCAAAATATGAACAACAATTGTTAGAAATTTTAATGGTAGAATCCAAAATTAAATGATTATTTTGAATGGTTATTTAGATTGTATTTGACTCATTAATTTGATTAGAGATTTGAAAACAAGATTTTCTACTATTCAAATTCATAATCTAAAAACACAACATTAGAGACACATTATTTTATTTTATTTTATTTTGAATTGAAAGGAAATTCTACAAACACAAAAAATATATATGAATGACTAAAATTTTATAAATTTATTGGTAGGCGAGATCTACTTCTAAAATTTTTAATCCATCAGCATACATTTTGGGAGTGTTTGGCAAGTTAGATTTTAGTCTTTTTTTTGGTTAAAATTTACAAAAAGAGAAAATAGGTTAGCATAACTAATAAGATAAAATGTTATATCAGTAATTATTTTATTTTTTCTCTCATAAACATCACAATCAACTACAAAAAATCCAATCATTTTCTCAAATACAAAAATTTTAACTTATTAAAATAGTCAAAAATTAAAATAAACTACTTGTACGGGAAAGAAATACGCCTTCTCGTATAATCCTGTTGACCAAGTCCACACTCCTCCGTATGACGTCGCTTTGTCACCTGAAAACACAAACGTGAGCTAGCCGGCGGGTGTATGCCGGAAACCTCTCCGATGCCTAAGTCAGTGGGCTTGACAAATAGACAAAGCTCTATGTTCCCAGAAAGTAAAATTGTATTGTGTTCAATTACCTCCTCCAAGGTGATGTTTGTGAGCTTTTATAAGTTTCCTGTGGCACAATCCTAGTAGGATTTTTATTCCTCCATGCAGAGTCCTCCTGGGATTCATACTCCTAAGGATAATGCTTATCCTTTTACACCCCAACTGCTTAAACCAAGTGGGATGGTTTTTACTTTGGCCGAACTGCTATATGACCGAAATAAGCTTGGCTATGCAGAGCCACTGAGTAAACCAAACTATTCCTAGTTCGGTTCCACCTTTAACTCTATTCTTATCTCGGTTTTCTCATGTACAACCAATGGTACGGTCTTTAGACCGAACCAATGACTTTCGGCCGGTATGACTCCAAGACCAGCATAACTCTACATCGTTCCTGGACCGAAGTATCTTTATAATTCCTGAGCCGAAGTAATTTTACCTCCCTGGCCGGAGTAACTTTGTTTCTCCGAGGCCGGAGTAACCTTGCCTCTCCTGGGCCGGAGTAACCTTGCCTCTCCTAGGCCGGAGTAACCTTTTGCATTTTTATTGGGCTAGAGTAATTATTACGGCTTTTTTACTTAGTCCTTCACACTTTGGGCCACAAAGCCCAATCTCGCAGCTCGGCCCAATTTTTCCCAAAAATTACCCTCTCACTACTAAAATAATAATTTTTCAAACACCCACCTTCTATTCAATTCTATCAAGTTCTATGACCCATTTATATGTTCCTAGACTAGTCATAAATTTTTGCCCGACCATTTTATCATAAAATTCTCCTTATAGGGGCCAAATCGCTAATATCTTAAAATGTTGCGGGTATCAAAAATATTTTCTCATAAATAATAATAGGGGTCAAAAAATAAATAATAGGAAGAGAAAGGGAAGAAACAAGAGAGTGAATGATCTGGAGGGAGATCTGTTGAGAGCAGTGGGCTGATGCTGATAATACTGAATACTGATACTATGCATATATATATATATAGAGAGAGAGAGAGAGAGAGAGAGGGAGATTCTAGAGAGAGAGAGAGAGAGGATATGGATATGGGGGGACTGCATTGAATCGACAGAGAACCCAAAATATCACGAAAAATCTGTGACTACCCTTTTGATTCTGTATCTTTTGATTATATATATACATCCCTACCCTTATAAATTCACATTATTGCTTTGTCTTTGGAAGTTGTGGTTATAGTGTAGTAATTTTTCTGGGTGGGTGTTTGGTGGGACATGGATGCTTTTTCTTCTTCTTCTTTGATGGAAAATGGGAATGAACCCCATGTGTTAGCAGTAGATGACAATCTCATTGATCGCAAACTTGTTGAAAAGCTGCTCAAGAACTCCTCTTGCAAAGGTATATACTCTCTCTCTCTCTCTCTCTCTCTCTCTCCATTCACAGTCTAATTAATTAATTGGGGCTTTGGCTGATTTTAAATGGTCCTGTTTTGTTTTACCACCATTTTCATTCATTCTAGGAAACATCAAAATATTTGTTTTCAAATTTTTTAAAATTATCTTAGCATGAAAATGAAAAGATGGGTATTTTCAAACTTTTTTTTATTGTTTTGTTTTTAAAAAGAGAAAAAAAAAAAACAGCCCTAATTAAAAGACCTTGGGCTGATGATGCAATACATGCATAATGCTTGCAAATCAAAAATATTTGTTTGAACAGACTGGATAAGATCCGCCGATAAATATGGACCGCTAGTTTTAAATAAATAGTCTAACCAAATGATAGATTAATAAATTTATTAGATATGATGTCCAATTTCATACCAAAACTCCAAGAAACAAACGACCCCAAAGCCATTAATAATGTTGCTATAGCTAATAATGCTTAGGTG